CAATTCAATTCAACCGCCTACCAATCCCCTTCCCAAGGTATTTAAGATTTTATAGGCCACCATGGCTCTTACAGAGTCTGTCGTGATACGAAGGGTTGCTTTAGTCTTCACTCAGAATTACAGTCCCCCCAGGTTTTAGACAAGTGGACTCCAGTATAAGATCACAACAATGTAATTAGGCATTTAAATTTTAGCATTAAGTTCAGAACTCTCACTTTGACAAGTGACATATTATGCTCGAGAAAGTGAAGAACTACAAAACTGACTTCAAGTGAATCAACAGGTATTCAAAATTTCAAAATTTCCTACACATTTTAGAATCATCATAGACTTTTGACACTGTATTTACATCTACTAACTCACAGTTGCACACAATCTTTGAAAAAATTTTATATTTTTCCCAAAATTTGATTACTGTCATACTTAAAACATTAAAACACACATAAATCTCTCCCCCAAACTTGAAGTAAGCATTGTCCTCAATACTTTCAAACACAGAGATGCAGGGAAAGAACAAACACATATACTAAGCATGCAATTTATCTGTAAAACAGAAAAATCATCATACAAAGTTGACTTAATCTAACCTAAGGACTCTAGATGCATAGACTAAAAACAGAAGGACATAAAAACTAGACCTAATTATAAAGAAACAGAAAATAAAAGAAAAGAAAAGAAAAACTAAAACTAAAGACTCCCCAGTGTGATTACAGTTTTTATCCCCTCAAAGAGGGGTATGGTGGGTTCTCCAGATGCCATGGTCGCTTCAGCTCTGTTCTGACATCCGTGGCAAGAATTGTACATTGGCGCACTCCATGAGCCTAGTAATAAGGATCGGAAAAACTTTCATCCTGTGCGAAGCATAGGAGCCTATCTTCTCCCTGATCACTACTGCCGCATCGATCGATGTGTTGGTTAATATTACATAGAGCAATAGTGTTGCTTCATAGGTTACCTTCTTCCGGCGCCGGTTGGGTATGAGGTTGGTGCAGATGAAGTTAAACCAGGGCTTATACTCTGGTCTCAGAGCTGAGGCTGAGAAGTATCCCAGGCTGTCGCTCTTGAATGTCCAGATGACACCCAACATCCTAAGAGCTCCTCTTCATGGTCGAAATCCATCATTTGATGGAGTGTGTCTTCATGGGAGAAACCAATTTCTTGCAATTACAGCAATTCTTTGATTGCCGCCTCACTGATTTTCACTACTCTACCTCTCACCGTCACAATATCACCCGGTGCTTCTCTCATACTGCTGTAGAATTCCCTGACCTTAGTGATATATAGCCTTTGAGGGACATCACAGAGTCTCTCCTAGTGATGTTCAACAATGTAAGACGACAAATCCACTGGGAAGGATGCCGCCCTCTCCATGATCATCCGTCGTTCCCCGTGTCTGGGTGCGGATTCAACTTCCTCAGAAACCTGTACTGAGTCTGTTCTTTAGATCTGATTGTGACAAACTCTTCGTGGAGTGTTCCTCCACCTTCCTGCATCTCTGGATTCTGCGGATTGCTGTTCTGATACCATTATTATGCTATTTTGCTGAAGCATAGGAGTGCTTTTTGGCTATAGGGTTTTGACTGATGGCGGGTGTTTAGAAAAAGGCGGAAGGTTAGAGAAGGTTACAGTTTATTGAATAGGGTGTTTATGGAAGAGTGGGGCCTTAGTATTCGAGTTATAATGTTCCAGTTTCCTAGGCATAACTCTTAGACAGTTTTACCCCCCATCTTCGCCTGTTATTTTCGAATCAAACTTCTCTCCTTCCTGCTTCCCTTTGACCCGAACACTTGGTGACTTTTTAGTTGCAATATAATCTTGACAAATCATCTCAATCACGAAAGTGAGTCTATCACTCGCCCAACTGAGACACAAATCAATCATCATTGCTTTGTGTAGATAACCAAACTGAAATGTTGTTGCTCTGATTATATCATAGTCTGCAAGGCATTTCAGGTTAACCATCCACACAGTCTTCACCTAAAAATTTCTGATACGGGCTATTCCACCCTTTCTAATTGCCACTTGAATAGATTGATTAATTAACAAAAGATAATTGAAACAAAACTAAGAAGAACAAAATAACTTACCTTGGGTTGCCTCCCAAGCAGCGCATTGGTTTAACGTTTCATGCCAGACTGATTGGTGCTCCTTACTTGGATTTCTTCAGTTGCAACACCTCCTTGTGCTGCATTTCCACCTTCTGATCTGTGCTGTGTGCTTCCCTCCTTTTTGGATTCTCCAGTGTGTCACTAAGAAGAGAGTCAGCAGGTCTGTCTGGTATCTTCCTTGCCATTTATGCAATCTGATTCTGCATATCTTTCACATTTGCATCAAGACTAGCAAGAACATTACCAACCTTGATCCAGTCTTCCTCCTTGGCTCTGAATGGTTGATTCTGAAATCCAGGTGGTTGAGCTGATCTCTGGTAGTTTGACTGCTGATTCGTCCAATTGTTGTTCTACTGTGGCCTTCAATTGTTGTAATTGTTGAAGCCTCCTCTGTTATCTCCTTGTCTCACGAACTGAACTTCCTCTACTGTGGCTTGACAAGCAGAGCTGGAGTGAGATCCTGTGCAGATTTCACATACATCAACTTTAGGTTTGTTGATGTCAGCTCTCAGCTTTGATATTTCACTGGTGATGGCCGCCATTTGTGCTTGCAAGTGAGTTGTAGCATCTAACTCCAACACTCCTATTTTCTTAGTTGTAGCTTTTGGCTCCTTCTGCCATCTGAAATGGTTAGCACACATATTCTCGAACAGCTGGATTGCTTCAACTACAGGTTTCATCATGAATGTTGCTCCAGATGATGAATCAAGTGATTCTCTGGAAACTTGCTGCAATCCAAATACATAGCTGCATTGGCTACACCATGTTGAGGGCACTTCCTCATCAAATCCTTAAATTTTTCCCAAGCCTCATAAAGAGTCTCTGTCCCATGTTACTGAAAACTCATGATGGCTGACCTTAGAGCAGCAGCTTTGATAGGTGGGAAGAATTTAGTAAGGAATGCATGTCTGAGTCGATTCCAGGAGTTAATTGAATTGTTGGGCAGAGTGTCCAACCATTTTGTCGCCAGATCCTGTAATGTAAATGGAAACAGTCTCAAATATACCTCATCCTTGGACAACCCTTGAATCTTGAATGTGCTGCACAGCCTCAGGAATTTCCTGATGTGCTCATTCGGATATTCACTGGTTAGTCTATAGAAAGGACAAGCAACTTACACCGATTGGATCATTTGAGTTTTGAGCTCAAAGTTCTCTGCTGTGACATCATTGTACACCAATAGAGTTTGAACTTCCTCCTCTTGAGGTACAAAATAATCTCTCAGTAGTCTGGGTTGAGCTGGTTGTAGCTCTCTTTCTTGAGGTTGATCAGCTATTGCTACCTCTACCATCTTCTTCGAATCTTCTTTAGGAACCTGAGCAGCAGCTTCTCTGTTTCACAAGGATTTTGATCTCCTCGCCGTATCTTTGATTTCTGGGTTAAAACTTAGCTCTCCAGAAGGATTGCTTCTAGTCATAAACTAGTAATCAAATCATGAAAGTAACAATAAAAGATTTTGAGTGAGTGAATGAGTAAAATTGACAGAAACAAAAAAAAACTAAAAAGAATAAAAAAAGAACATAATAATCAGACTTTAAGGATTTTTAACACCATCCCCGGCAGCGGCGCCACTTTTGGTGAGACACGATTTGTGTTGTCGTTAGAATCGTTCTCCAAAAGAATAATTTATAAACCTACTTAAAACTATTAGCTAGTGGTAAGCAGGGTGGTTCCACAGGGACGGCAGTCAACCGCTTAAAATATGATTAAAATGCAGGAAAGAAAAGAAAACAATTAAACAGACTGTCACTTGGGAGAGTGGGAATATTCACTTGACAGAGTGATGAGGCAGAAGGCTCAATCACCTTCTTACCTTTATGATCTTGTTTTGATTCAATATTCCTGTAGTGTATGATTAGTTGTTCGATCAGGAACCTATGTATCCTTATGATTCCGTCAAGATAGAACAAGGAGTCCTAGATTATCAACCCAGTTAGAGTCTTATTTAATCTGAACATTAAGTTCTTAAGCCCTTATAGATCATCTATGCCACCACCGAACTGCCGTTCGTGAATGAAACCAGAGGGATGGTGTTCCTCATTTGTCATAGACTAGATTAAGCAGTTCTAAGGTTATGCGCTCCCTTCCAGATCTTCATAACCATGCATGCACTTCTAATTAATTGATCAAGTTAACTAAAAGGTAAATTAAATCACTTACCTAGGCACAACACCTCATCAAGGAAACTGAATCAACACTTTCACATAAAGATAGTAGGGATTGAATCCTTAACTTTGTTAGCTATTCATGCTTATTGAGTTAAGTATGAGAGCAACAGAGTACAAAAGATAGGACATGAATCCTAATCTAAAGGTTACAGGAAAGAAAGGGAAGATGGTAGCTAGGACAATTCTGTCTGCTCACTATGGCGAGTGGCGTTCGCCACTAGACAGAGTAGTAGTCTGCCTTATTCCTGCTACTACCCTATTTCTAACCCACTAACTACTACCTAACTACTGTCTTTAGGACTAAATCTAACTACCCAATCCGTTATGTTTTCTACTGTTATTGGCTGGATATTTCTAGAGATTTGGAGAGGCTTGGATTGGTGGAGTTCTGGTCTTCTTCTTTGCAGCAGAAAGGTGACAGCAACTTGCAGTAGAGGAGATTGTTTATTCTGCAACTTGCCTAGTTGCCTACTAGGCAAGTTGCAGTCTTCTCCTTGGCTGCTCATTCTCTTCAGCCGCAATTTACCACTCTCATCATTGTCTGCTTCTCTTAGCCTTCTTCTCCGGCGCAGCTGCTCCAATTTTATGCCACAAGTTCTTATTTCTTCATTCTTTAATCCTCATCAGCCAATTTAGTAGCAGCATCAGCAGCATGCTTCCTTCCATCATTATGTCTTCAGCCCCCAATTTAGCCTGAATCTTCTGCCTTTTCTTCCGTGTTTCTATGCCATTGCTCACCCTTCTGCAGCAGCCAATCCATCAACTCAGCAGCATCATCAGTAGGTAAGTAGTAGAGTTGTAGTTGCTGCTTATCACATATTCTCCCTCTTTCTCTTCTTCCACTTGCAGCAGCAACAACTTGCAGTGATGGCAACGTAATTTCCTTCCTTGGGCATCAAGATTTCAGCTAGTGGCTCCTCGTTGATTCATAGCAGCAACAGTTACTGCAGCAGCAAATTACGAAGTAGGGCAGCTGCCATTCTTCCTCCTGATTGAGTTATGCTGCAGCAGATTCTTCCACTTGCATCCATCTGCTATCAATCTTTCTTCCTTAGCAAGGATACCTCCACTTGCTCTAGCTCAAATCCGTCCTTCCAGCAGCTCCAATTCTGGCAGCTTCAGCTCCAGCAGTTTCAATCCTAGCAGCTTCCAATTTCAGTCCCTTTTGATGCCTTTTAGTGCAATTTAGTCCTCAATTATTTTTTTTCATATTGGCCCCTTGAGATACCTAAACGGTAAAATTACCCCAAAAGTAAACTAATTCTAACTAATTGATACTAAATTATAAGCAGAAATCAGCAGAAATGCTAGCAAAAAGTGTATATATTTTTGCGTCATCAGCCTCTATATTGTGTCCACTGCAAAAAAAAATAGGTCACAATATTCATTCCTCCCATCACAATACAAACATATCTTCATCGCAAAAGAAAGACTCGTATAATCCAATCCAATCCTCAAAGACGAAGTCGCAAAGCAATCAAATAATAGCGCTGACATCGAAGACGCAGGCTTTGGGAGAAAATCCATCGGTGACTCAAGCTGCGCAGCCACAGCCTCAAATCAACACCATAGCTGCCATCGTTCCAATCAGTGAGGGAGGAAAATCAGGCCCTTCTTCGCCGCTGGAAAAAGAATCAGTAAAAGCTCCATCGTCAAACCAAGAAAAGAAGTCGACATAGCATCCGGGGGTCCTCATCGAATCAAACTGCGGCAGTGGGAAAATCCCAGCCTGCGCAACCGCCGCTGCTCGATCAAGGAGGACAAATATCACCGCCGGCGAATTTGGAGGCCAACGGGAGTCACAGAAAAGTCATCGGGAGTCTCCGGAGACACAATTAGAAGTTGCGCCGATTCTGGATGATCTTCAAGCCATCGCTGCCGGCACGATTGCTGAACAGCGAAACAATGCTGCGGCTTCTGATCCAACGAGCGTGGGAGAGAAACCAGTTTCTGCTCCTTCTTCGCCATCAATTGCTGTCCAAATCGAGTCCAATAATGGAGAAATAGCTTCATCGCCAACAATGAAGGATGCTCCGGTGATTAAGGCAAGTCATCAGAACCCTCCAATTCCGCAATGCCCTTCTGGTTCGCAATCAAGCCGCGCGTCAGTTGCGCCTGAATCCGCAAAGTCAAAGAGGAGAATCTTATCCCCCCAAATTAGCAATCACAATCTGAGGAAAATACAAAGTCAAGCTCTCTAATTCCGCCTCATCTCTCCCTCCAATTCAGAAAAAATAATTTCGCAATCAATCCCTTCAAAAAGAACCGCTCACAAATTAAACCCTGCTGCACCGAAATTTTCCAATTCCTCTCGATCACATATACCACTCCTCCAAGTATTACTCCCTCTTTCAGCTCCAAAAAATACACGTTGTATATCTAAAGATGATATGGAGGTAGGAAAGAATACAGATGCTTTCAAATACAAGTTATTCGATTGAACAAATCCATTTTGAAGGAGAACAAAATCATGCTTTTAATAGTTCTGATGATGAAGATTTCGACATGGAATATACAATGGAACAAGAATACTTTTACAATGAATTTTCTGCTCCAACATATCACAATCATTCAAAAAAAGTCAAGGCTAAAAAAAAAGTTCAAGTTCGACACTCTGCTAGATTCCAAAAGAGTTAAACTTTCTTGAAATAAAAATTATATTTGATATAGGGTTTGTATATTCGCTGCCCTAATTTTTTCTTTATTTTTAATAAAATTGTTTTTTTTTTAAAAAAAAAAAGACCAATTCATAAGACACTGGATTAGGGAATTCAACAACTAATTCATATGCATACATAAAATTACACATTATCAATGACAAATCTACATGAAGTAAACAATGAAATCACATGATGAGAATCATATAACCTTTCATGGTGATTCTCCTAGTGAGGGGAATGAGCTAGTCCTTCATTCTAGTTTTGGAATGCCAAATTTACTTTGCAGACCAATCAAGGAAGAAATGATGGATCTTGACTACCTATGTGATAGGGAGTTGGTTCAAGAGAGCTATGATCAAGATGATGAGAATGTCATTAATTTTGGGGTTCAAACCAAAGGGGATGATTCACTCAAGGAAATAAGTGCTCAAGAGCTTCAAGGAAGTTTGACTCTAGGTGCTCCATGAAGATCATTGATCAAGCTAGAGAGAAGAGTCATTTAGATTCTTGAATGGACGGCCTATTTGATCAAAGTATTCAAGATTGAGTCCATTGCTACACAATTGGATAGGTTGCAAACTATCTCAATTGTTTCAAGTGTTTTTCCAATCTTTTGGAGTCAATAAAGAGAATTCTACAAGTTTTGAAGTAAATTAGATTTTTCTACAACTTGAGGGACGTAAGACCAATATTCCACTTTTGGAAGAGCGTTCAAGATAATTTACTTTAATATTTGGAGCTGATTTTCGGATTTAAATATTATCTAGTCTAGGTAATTTTCGAATTTATCTAGTCAAGATAAGCCATGTGGGCTGAATTAAACTAGAGTGTTTTGATTAGGAGTCTTAGATTCTTTCTAAGTATTATCCTATTTGAGGATAAGTCATTTAGATAAGGTTTTTTAGATTTTAGATAGAGTCAAAGAGATCAAATACTCTTCTACTTCTACTCCTACGTGAGATAAAATTAGAGAGTCCTAGTTGGTCTTCTTTTTTGGTGCTTTGGCCGAAATTGTTAGCCTATAAATAGGGAAGGATGGCCGAAAATTAAAGCACCCATGTGTGGTCATTTTGAGTCTTCTCTAATCAGAGTTTCTCCTGTGAGGAATTTTTGTTAATTGTTTGTCCATTTTTCGTGTCAAGTATGATTTAACCAAGAGGGTTTTCATCTTGTCTTGGATCTTTTGATCTTGCAGAAACCGTTCTTTTTCAAGTATGCTTCTTGATAGAATTGTTTTAAAACTAAACTTCTTATTTTCATACTACTTCTAGTAGTTCGAGAGTTGAGCCTTTCTTTTGGCTATGGTTTTCGAATTCATGATGTGTGTGTTCATGAGTTCCTTTATGGGGTTTGTCCTACTTTTGTTAGATGAGTTGTGCTTAGGCATAAGTATTTTGAGATAGTGTATGTGTTGCATATCTTTGTTGGTTATGGAGATTAGTAATCAATAGTATTCCTTCGTAGTTGAGTATTGTTTGCTCCTGCCTTTCTTGAATCTCTTGAATGATGACTGATCGAGTATATTAAATGGTGTCCTTACTATTCTTAGTGTGGGTTGTTGTTTAATTCGAATCTTTCATAGAGTATGTGTTCTTTGCTTGGTTTGAGTTAAGAGATAGAATTCCTTAGATAAACGATCGTTTTACAGTGAATTTTTTGCGCTCTTTTGAGTTTCACGGGATAGACAAATTATCTTTGTACTTTATTGTTTGATGGTTGCATTAACAAAATTTGCTTCATCTACGAGATTACTATCAGTTTCTGGTATCAGAGCTTGAACTATCTAAGTGATGGTATTAATTGATATTATCATATCAATTTTTAGTATCATTTTGATTGTTGAGAGATTTCTTTTTGATTGAGGACTTCATATTTCTTGGTTTTGAGAATATCTTGAGTTACCACGGAATCCGTTTCTTGGTGTGGTAATCGAGCTTTGTGCTACTAACGAGTAGTACTATCTTTATTTGTTTCAAGGTTCCTTCTTGTTGCAGAATGGGTTTTGAAAAAATAAATCAAATTCTTGTGAAAACTACGTTTTCAAAATTGATCTTGTCTTTTGCGTGGTTGTACGAGACTTCTTACACATTTGTTTGATCTTCTGGTGTTATTTTGGAGTCTATGCGAGAGCTTGATGATACATTGGTATCTAGTCAAAGTGGGCGCTACATCTTGAAATTTATCCTTGATTTGCAAGTAGAGAACTGTTTCTCCTATGAGCAAGTTAGTGGATCTTATGCGTTGAATTTTTAAGGAGAGAATTGATGCCAAAGAAGAGCTTCTTGCTCGAGTTAGCCTTTTCTTTCTAAAGAGATATCTTTACATGAGGAGGGTTTAAGAGTTTATCTTGTGGTAAATATCTTGAATCTATTCTTTGAAAAGTGAAGCTTAGTGATTTTGTATTTTCTACATAAAGTATAAATGAAAAAGCCTTCCTTCTTGTTGGTTCTCATTTGAATCTAATGAGTAAAATGGAGTTTTATGGATTTTCAAACAATGAGAATTTCATAGAGTTTCGAACCTTTTTGATTATTTTGTTTTTGTTTAAATCTTTGTGTCAAAAGATTTTCAAAAGTAACAAATGTCGGTTTTTTGTATCTCATAAGTTTATATTTTGAGAATAAGTCAAATTAGTGGATCTTCCTATCATTGGACTTTCCATGATTCTCAACTTGAGTTTGAAAACTTTCTTTATCATTTGATGAGGAATGAATTTTAGTGATATCAATTTAGGTATCAAATATCTAAAGGTCTTGAAGTTGAATTGTGCCAACTTTAAGGGTTGTAGTCTTTGACTTGTGTTTAAAACCTTAATTTTGAGAGTTGAATCGAGAATTGAGTGAAGTTTTACTAAAGATTTTCTTATATATAACAAGAAATCTTATAGGCTTTGAGATATGTTCTTGAAGTTTACATATTTGGTCTTTGAAAAATTTGATTTTCAAATGGTCACTTATGAAGATGACCTTGTTGAGTCATTGAGTCATATGAATGGTTTGTGTTAAATTGAGTATTATGAAGCAAACGTCATAGTTGAATGAGGAACTTTAAATTCCAACTTCATTATACTTATGGTGCTCTTGTTACTTTATTTGCCATAGATTGTTTTGGTAAAAAGTGATTTTTGTTAATTCCATATACAATTTGGAAAGTAGTTTTTAGAAAGTATTCTAAAAGTTGTTGGACATTTTGGAAAGTAGTAATTTCCAAGTTTCCTTTTTAAAGTGAGTCAAAAGTAATTTTTCAAATTTTAACTATGTGGTAAAAGTTAAATTTTGAATTTTTGCTGAATTAATGCATGTGTGTGCGTGTGTTTTATGTGCAGTTCTAAGCCTAGTTGGTTTTGAATTTTAGAGTCATAGTATAACCGAATTTTTGAGCTAAAAATTAGGATTTCCTAGTCCTAGTTGAACTTGAATTTTGGTTGTCTATTTGCGTTACACTTTGAGACCTATTCGGTCTTGTATTTGTGTGTTCACATGGCCAAAAATTTATCCCTAAAATTAAGGTCATTGAGTCCAAATTGTGTTATGATTTGAGACCTATTCGGTCTTGTATTTTAGTGTTCACATTGGCCAAATTTTTCAGTCTTGTTTCCTAATGGTAATACAATTTTATTGTATGTTTTTTGAGTCCTACTTGGATTTAAATACTAATTTTTGCATGAGTTAAATTCTAATTTCAGTGAGATTATAATTAGAGTTTTAAAGTGAGTCTATTTTCGAAAACTATTGAGATAAGGAAGTCTTATCTTAATCTGAAAATTTTTTAGTCTTTTAATACAATTGTGCTTGTGTTTGGCCGAGTTTTTGAGTCCTATTTGTAGTAGGGGGGGTCAGATTTTTTGTCTCTAATTAGTAGGGATGAATCTTTCATAAGTTGTGTCCAAAAGGGATTATGATTACCTAAGTTTTAGGACTCTATCCTTTTATATATATGTGTTCGCCGAATTTCTTCCTTTTTATTCCATCTTGTCGACTGAATTTAATCAATTAAGGGGGGAATATTTTTGAGAAAATTTAGGTCCTATCTTGTAGGAGTTTTCTTGCACAAAAAGACTTGCATTGCCTATAAATAGGGGTGTTGTTTTTCGAAAATTCTTACACCACTCTACTCTATTCTTCTTCTTCTTCTTGCTGCTGAGATCACAAGGGTATAAACAAGAGAAGCACTCTTCTCTTTATTCTGAATTTTTGAGAGTTAGTGTTCTTAAAAGCACAAGAGAGTTTTTGTTTTTGGGGAGAGCATTATTCGAACCTTCCTTTGGTTCTTGGGGGGGTTTTGGCCGAACCATCATTGGTTCTAGGGTTCAAGGAGTTTTTGTGTAGTAACAAAGGCACATTACTTCTTTTGTGGGTGGTTTCTCAAAGTTGTTGAGCAAAGATGTCATCCGGAGTTGCTGGTTGTACTCAAGTTGCTTCAAAGAGTGTAGAGGGTCGCATGGAGGCTCAAGTGCAGCTTATGAAGAGTCAAATTGACTACTTGCATGATGCTTTGACCGAGGTGAAGGAGGCGAACCGAGACTTGTCTCAATTGCTTTCAAATCAGCAAGATAAGGCTATGGTAAGTTTTGAGAAAATTGCTAAAAATCTAAGAGTCTTATGTGATCGTTTTGAAGTAAAACAAGTACCCTCGTATGCTGGAATGTTGCAAGTGTCATTGCCTTTGTTTTATGGTTGCCAAAGAGACTATAATACTTGGAAAAAGAGCATAGAGAATTTGTTTGTGTTTCTTAACATTGAGAAAGAGAGTGAGAAAATAGCCTTAACTGTACGTTGTTTTCGTTCTAGTACTTTGAATTGGTGGAAGCTAGTTTCAAATATCTATTCTCATCATTAGTATCGTAATTTGGATGATTGGCATGATTTGATGAATGCTTTGCGAGGAAGATATGCTGGTACTAACACCTTTGATGAAGCAAAAGTGAAGTTACTCAATTGTAAGCAGAATGGTAGATCTGTTCAATCTTACTTTAAGGAGTTAGAAGGCGTGTCCTGAGTTCGAGTGTGGATGAGAACGACTACATGTTGACTGATCGTTTCCACTATGGCTTGGACAAGGGGTATAAACAACACCCAAAGATAAGGAGGCAATCAAGGCACTATGAGACATATTATGCTGCCTTAGAAATGGAAAGAGAGCATGATACTTCTTGTGGTTGGAATGGTCCAATTCAGGATCAAGGGTTGGTGTTTGGCGCTGAAGATAGTAATCAACGGACATGTATCTTCCGTACCAAGTGTTGGGTTGGGTGGTCCAATGAAGTTGATTTGGTAATCGATGGTGGGTCGAGTACTAATTGTATAAGTGAAGAATTTTGCATAGCAAACGGAATCAAGATGGATCCGCATGCTAGACCATACAAGCTTCAATGGTTGTGGATGTCACTAAGAAGGCCATGGTATCTTTTCAAGTTGGTGAATATAGGGATGAAATTTACTTTGATGTAATTCCTATGTCTCTTTGT